CATCCAAACATGTGTTTATATACACAAAAGGAGTCATAAACATTAGGACTTGTTTCCTACTTTAAGAAAAAAAAAAAATCTTGTCTAATCTATTCTAAATAAGAAACAAACATAGAGTTAATTACACACTATTTGCGACCTAATTCATAGTCATTTTATAACGAGAGAATCCTAATAGCTATCAATATTGAAATATCCATGATAAATTAGATTTTTCAATTATCCATGAGATGGACTAGCTTTGGGTCCATATAACCTTAACAACGAAGCATTCTAAACCTATATAAGAATTTTAGATTAATTAATTATAAAGTATTATGAATTATGGGTCAATAGGAGAAAAGTTCTTAACTTTATTTTTTTCGATTTTGGCTCTCAATCTTTTTTTTTATCTACAACTAAATTTTTTATTTTGTTGATTAATATCATGTCACATTGAACACACATGAGAGACATAAAGTTATAAAATAACGACATATGTTATTGTTTTAATAGTTTTACATGTATCTTATCTATTTTGTGACTTGTCACCAAAATAAAAAACTTAATTTTAGATCCAAAAAAAGTTAAATATTTTTTTTAATCCATAGTTAAGGGTACTATATAACTAATTAGCTAAAATTTTATTTAAGATGGATATTTTCAAATGACTAATTTCACATTTATTACAAAAGAAATTAAAACATATGGTTATATTATTGTTTATAGATTGTTCACATAGATTCAATTAACTGTGAACTATGACTCAAGTATACTCTTTTGCTCTCAACTATGCATCTGGCTCATTCCTTCTTTTTTTCTCTGATCTTTCTTACTCTCCATCGTTACATTTAGCAGTGCTGTTGTTTTGTTTGTTTTTTTAACTCTTTTTTGCTCTTCTCATTTCAGTTACGCGTGTCATGTAGTTTTTGTTTTTATTTAATTCTTTTTTTTTCTGTTTTTTTAAAGGTCTTGATCCCTGTCAGCTTTTCTTTCTTTTTTTATTTTCACCCTTATATTTTTTGATTAATTACTATCTCGTCATTAGGAGCTTTATGTCCTACCTATCCTTAATATAATCTCAAAAAAACCTTAGTGGGTGTGTATATATATACATATATTGTATTGATTTTTTTTCCTTTATGAATCCATAGATAAAGAAGAATTAATTATTTTTTAAGTAAAAAATTATGAAAAACATTTTTATGGACCCATGACATAATATAGATTATTAAATTAAATTAATTTTTTTAAATAATTTTATATATTTTATCTAACCTAGCGCTAGGACGTTTCACACGGAAAAAAATAGTTGGATGTACAGCAGTGACAATTAAGCTCACGGAAAGGATGATTTGTTTTAGGCAAATGAGTTAATATTTGCATCCAAGTTCAAGCATGTAGGATTGATATCAATGGATAAAAATTCAGTCAACAAAAAGATACAATCACACAAATCAGGAGGATGATTGGAGGCAAAGAGACGCGTCATTCCAAGACTACTGAACACACGACATGTCAGGCAAGGTTCTGATTTGTTAGCGTGCAAACAATTCTACTTCCCATAAATACCCTTACCTCAAAAGAAGGAAAACATCCCTTACACTGAAGTAAATTCCCACTGACCTCAAGGGCATTTAAGAATCACAAAAAAAGAAGACAAACTAGGTTATCTAGCTAACCAACCACTATAAAACCAAACTAAAACCCCAACCTCAAAACATCACTACTTGATCTTATCTGAGCAGAGGATTTGGACTCTCAATAAAGACAAATTCCTCTCTCTCTCTCTCTCTCAATAGAGCCACCCTCCATGTCACCATGGGTGCTGGCGGCTCCGCCGCTGAGCGAAGAGTGGAAGAGATTCAGTTTTTGGTCGATTTTGAGGTCCAATTCCTGCGATGAAGACTGCCTGCGGTCAGAGCCCAATCTCTGTTCTTTGATTGGGCAGTGATGGCTTCGTGGGCTAACCCCCAATTACCATAAGTTTGTTTTTTATGCCTTTTTTTCTTAATCCATGCTTTATTTATTTTCCTGTTATTTTACCTACTATATTTTAAGTAAACTATGGAAAAAACATTATTCAAAAAGAAAAGTCTGTTTTCTATCCATTTTCTTGCTATATTATAATCTTGTTTTGAAATTTATGTAAATTTTTATGTGATTTTACAAAACAAGCATGCATGATTGTAATTAAATCTAATTTTGGAGTTCTTTTATTTAGTATGCTTGTTTTTGCCCAACAGAGCTTATTGCTTACCATCATTTGCAGTTAATTGTTTTAGTGACTTTACATGCTCGAATATTACTGACTTGTTTTTCTCAATTTTGGTTTGTTAAAAGACATTGAAGGCTCCTCGTACAATTTGACTGCTGATAATATATTGCAAGTTTGTTTTTGACTGATAATATATTGGAAGTTTGATATTTGAACTGTTGGGTGGCTTGCTCCTGTTGAATTAGACATTCTAAAAAGTGCATTTTGTTTATTCTCATACCTTTTAGATGTGTGTGATGTTCGCAAATGAGAGGTCACTCTAACATATAAAGCTATTTTTAATAGCTACTTGAAATTAAAAAAAAATGATGTATATGCTCTAACCTTCTTTCAATAAAAATATTAATTGTAGAAATGAACAATGGAATCTAAGAAGATTGATTGTATTAGTTAACGGATTATTACTGAGGTTTAATTGATTGATTGACTTTGCTAGTTCTAGCTCTTAGTGTGATGTATTTGAAAGAAAGCAGCAAGAATTATAGGTTCTAGAATTAGCTTTGATTTAGCAAGAATTATAGGTTCTAGAATTAGCTTTGATTTATTCTATACTTTTCAATAGGATTTATTAGCATGTGCATTATAAGTTATTGTCTTGATATATCAATTATAATAACAAATGAATTCCATTACATAGTCTATCAACGTATGCATAAACTGGACTATTAAATATAATATAAATAAAAAGCAGTCATCTCAGACAAATGAATTCCATTTTATGTGTTTCATTCGATCTATGGGTGAGTTGGTAGACTAAATCTGCATAACAATTTTTCAAGTTTACCCTACTTTTAGCTTGAACATGAGCAGTAGGTGATAATAAGAGATTTTTTAGCATCGATATTCTTTTTGCTAATATGTTGGTAAAGGCAAGCCTGGTGCCTTCTTCAATGTTTTTAAAGGCATCGAAAAAGAAATATCAAGATTTGTTTAGCTATACCTTTTAATGAATTCAAAGGTATTGAAAAAGTGACCAAGGAAACCTAATTTCATTGGAAATGATTTTCAGTTGAGTTGTCATTTTTATGTGTCTGTAGAGCTATAGTGTTTATGTAGGACATGTTAGTATGTCTGTGTTTACAAGTATGCTGACATAGTGTTAGTAGGTCAACATGTTGATTGTCACATATTGACATGGCAAGCAATAAGTCAGCATATCAACTTGCTATATTGATGTGACAAACAATATGTTGACTTGTTGATTATCATGTTAGCAAAACTGCTGACATGGTCCTGTTGTTATGTCTCTGCATCAACATTGTAGCTCTACTGGCTTGGGGTAAATAATCAATATTGGATTGATGTTAAATAAATTTTCTTCACTATCCTCCGCACCATGTTTGTTAGTCTGGTGGGGAAAGAATATATGGCTTTGATGAAATGTGAAGAATTGCATGCCTCTGTTAATTGTATTTATGTCTTCTATTAAAAAAGACTTCTTTTTTTTACAACTTTTCAAAGTAGAAGCAATTGGAAGATACGTGAATGAATTGCTTTCATTTTTTTATTTTGTTCATCCTTTGTGTCTTCTAACCTTCCATTCACAATGTTAGATTTGTCAAATTTCAATTTGGGTTATCTTCCTCTTTGAGTTATGCTCAAGTCTCTCTGTGGGGCAGCATCCAATTTAGCAGCAAGTTGGTGCAATCTTGTTATGTAGAAAAGGTGATGAAACATGATCAAACTAGACCTAGCAATTAGGGTTTCTTTACATTGTTGGACAGTAGTGTTTAGCATTGCGTTGGGGTTCATGGTAGTTTGCTTTGATAGAGAGATTGACAAGGATGCTCTGATTAACATTTTGTAAAGTGCTAATAGCTCCACTCATTGTTAGACAAATTCGTTGGTTATTACTTATTAGGATTGGTGTTGTGTGCTAAATTTGATTATCTGTAATATAAAGGAGCATATATTTTGGACCAGGCAAAAAGCTCCAGGAAAATTCTTTTTGCTTTTATATTACTGTTTAACATCTTTTTTTGTTTTATATATAAGAATTATTAACATCTTGAAGCTAAAGATAATAGTAGTCCTGATGAATTCATCTGGTTATGAATTGGGTGATGCTTGAATTTTTTGGTCCTCACAGGTGCAGTTTATCCCACTATAACTCAGGCTTGTAAGCTGTCGCACTTAGCTTCTACCAAAATAAATCGTTGCAGCTTTTATATTAACTTTTTGCAAACAGGCAATGAAATAAAATTAAGTTTCCAAGTTCAAGAATCGTTGTTACTTCCTGGTGGAAGTTGATGGAAAATCTATCTGAGCTTATCTGAGGACATGATTTATCATTCATTAGGATCACACGCATTGTTATTTCAAATTGAAGTTTTTCGATCACGTGCCTGACGCAATGCGATGAGAAGTGTATACCCTCTGAAAAATAATGCAATTAAATTTTATTATTTACCCTTTTGTTTTCTATGCAATCCCTACAAGATGTGGGAATGTTCTCAAGACTCGGACCTGATCTAGGTTTTGCATAAATGATTTTGAAGCCAATTCACTGACTCTTTCGTAGGCGTGTAAGGAAGGCAACAAGTGCATCTGAGGGCTAAGGCCATTGATAAAAGGGACTGCAGCTGTGACACCAGTCACTGTATTTCACAAACAATAACACAGTTGACGTATGCAGGTCCTGTATAAACTAATCAGAAGAATTATTAGTACTAATCATGTTTCTCTCCCGTTGAAGGCCCAACTTTCTAGTTGTTTAGGTCAGTCTGAGTTTGGGATTTGGAATTTAGAACTGTCCCCCATGGAAGGTTTGACCAAAAGCCCAGTTAGGAGGAGCCACGTTGTTAGAGATGATAGATCTTCCGTCACTTGTTGTGACCTTGAAGGAGAGCGCTTGACCATTTAAGTAAGAATTGCTCTGCCAATTTTGGCCCCAATTGCGAGACATTGGTTGCCAACTAGTCCTAGATCCTTTTATGGAGACTGACACAACATCACCAGCACCACCAACATTGGTTATAAGGACAAGGTTGAAGTATGAATGACCATTTATATTGAACCTGATCCCTCCCCTTTTCCTACATGCAACTCTGCGAACAGAGAAAAGATTGTTTGTTTCGGTATAATGTGGAGATTTTAGATCAAAGTTAAATAGCATTTACAATGAGTATAGTTTAAGCTAACCTTCTGTACAGAACAGGGACGATTCCAGCTTTATAATGAGCTAGGTGTTGAAAAACAGGCTGCGAAAGATCAAAGTGTTGGGAAGGAGGATTGCACCACCCTCCTGCACTGTTTGGAGGGCAAAAGTTTGTTGCTGTAACTATGATTGATCCTGAAAAACACCACCTTGCATCATTTACACATTTGAGTTCGAAACAAGCTCCACAGGTTAGTCCGTTCTTGAATAAAGCTGTGCTTAGTGCTGCTGTGTTTGTCCCATAACCTTGGCTGTATAGGTTGCCATAACCACAAGCTCCTCCTATATATTTAGCATGCACATAATTTGCTTGAGCAATGAAATACTATATAGAAAGAGATTTTGACTAGCAGGTATCTCATTGTTTTTGGTTCTTACCCATTGTGCCAGAAGCATCACCACCTCCATAGAAGGTAGCATGAGCATTGGACCATCCACCTCCATAGCCATGAATTGTTTTCGACATGGTTAGGAAGACTACTAGACAAACTCCAAGAAAATCCATTTCCTGCAAAATAGCAGCAAAAGAAACACAGTTTGAGATACGGATTATTCTTGCAAGTGGGAAAAGGAAAAGGCTGATAAGTTTTTGCTTACGATGGCTTAATAAATTTGAACTCAAAGAAATCAGCTTGGAAAACAAGTCAACCAGTAGGAAAAGTCAAGGAAGATGTTGGGGAATGAACCTGTATTTATAGATGTTTGTGGAGGAAACTATGCTACTCAAAGGAGAGGGTATGGCAAAAAGGAAAGAGAAAAAGAAGTACTAATACTTATAATTTTATAATCATAACATGTAAAGTTAAAGAAAAAAAAGCATGATTCTAAAACAATATTTTCATTTGAGATATTTAAAACAATATTGTTCATCAAATTAACTACTGGTGTCTTTAGGTTTTTTTTTTTTTTTTTAACAGTAAAAATATTTTCAAATCAGATCGTGCCTCACCAATAATATTTTAAAACTATATCAATAAATGATAAAATATTTTTTTATTCTAGATAGCAAACACATAAGATTTTGAGCAATTTTTCGTACTTTACAGTATCTTGATGTTAAAACCAGCATTATGGTCCTTTATCACCAGGTTAATTACGACAAAGTTTTATTATATTTTTCCAACATCGACATCTCTCCTATGCCTAGAATTTCATGTAGTGGTCAATTTACCACCTTCTTTAAAAGGAGAACAAGAAAAGGATAGGCTGATTTTAAAAGGGAGGAATCCGTAAGTATGAGAGAAAGAGACATGCTGGCAGATGACTGTTTTTCCACCATTATAAAGTCTTATCTCTACCGCTTGACATCATTTAACATGTTAAATTCCATCATTCCTTGCATAACAGCCTGGATACATGTTCTTTTTGGCCTGCCTTCTGTCCTTGTAATACATCCAAATTTAACCTAATCTTTTTAAAACCCTAATGTGAACTTGTTTTTTGCATGGTTAATTAACTACCTTATTCTCTCTATGATGCCTGTAGGGAATCCTTACTGGAATAGAAAAGTTTCAGATTTTCTAAAGAAATTGTTTGAATAAATGATTGGATGCCTGTTAAAGTTAGAAAGATAAAAAGAAACAGCGTAAAAAGATTGCACCGACGAAGTTCTTTGAATCTCTAATCTTGAATGGATACGAGGAGATGTTCTTCCATAAACAACAAAGAATAATGTCATCCTCAATATAAAATTAGAGGTGAAAGTAAATGGTACTTTCTGAATTTCTACTCTGCTTTTCTTTAATATTATCTCTAAGGCGAAAGCATATGGTATCTTTTATATTCTGGTCTACTACTCTTTGTCATCTTTGAAGGGCAGAAAGTTGAACTTCTGACCTTTCACTTGCTGTCAACACTTCTGCTATTCAAGTAAGCTGAGAACAAAGATCCTATTGGAAATAATCAGTCCATTATTTATTGGTGCTCTACTTCTTGCAGGCAAAAGCTGCTTTGATGCTTAAACCATGAACATCTGATAAGTAAACAATTTATTTACCACTGCAAATAAATTAAATTTCCCTTTGAAAATGTGTTTTCCAACAGTAGAACCTAAATGCAAAGAACAAAACATTTAGGCTGCTGCCTAAGTATAAAAAGAGGTTGAAAAGATGAATTATGATGTTTCTGCACTGTTGATGAATATCTCTCATTATGCTTTTCTTAGCTGTGACCAGCTGATGAACCTTAATGCTTTCATGCTGCAATTCTATTTAAAGAATACAGAACTTCTGATCTTTACAGCTTAACATATCATTAGCAACAAAATTATTTAAGCTGAACTAATCATTTCCAAAAAAATTTAGATATTGGTTTAGAGATGCATCAAATCATAACAGAAGATTTTCTCTATCCAAGTATTCTTTATTTATGATTTCCTCTTCAAGTTCTGCATATATTGTTGGATGAGTTTCCATCACTCAGTCAAGAATTCACAAAAAAATGTAATCTTTGGAATTTATTGATACCCTCTAAATCCCCATGTATAGAATAATGAGTAGCTGATAAATATGTCTGACACAACTTTATTTCGATGAAATATGTAACATACAACTTAGTCCTTCACTTTTGTCTTCTTTCTTTTCATTCCCTTGTGGAGGAAATATTTTTGAAAAGGACCAAACCAAATGCTAGAAACACAACAAGTTACATAAGAAAAACACTAAAACATCAGTAACAGACAAACTATAGCGCGTGGATAATCATCAACTTTACAAAATGGAACTGTCCAAAAGCATCAGTTTAGAAATGGAAGTCAGGGGAAACAATTTTTATTTGCTTCTTTTTACGTAGTTCATGTTCTTACATTTCTATTGGTTGACAGCTTAATTGATATGCAAGAAAATTGCAATTCTTTGGGTACGTGGATGAGCTTCTGTACCGAGTGAAAGTTAAAATTATTTTCTCATTGTCTGTACTCTGTACACTAGAAGTTCTATGTTTTTTTATGCTAGGGAAAATGGGTGTTAGGTGTAGAATTTTGGATAACATATTCTGAGTATTCCTTTCTATTCCTTGTCATCGAATTTTAAAACTAGTGAAAGGAAAAAATGCAACAAAAAGTCCAAGGAAGCGTCTATAGGCAACAGAAAAATGGACAAATAAAGTCCAGAGGAAGATAAAAGGTCCTGAAGAATAATCATAACATTTTAAAACAAGTTAAGCAATATTAGAGATGAATTGGTTGGGATTCATATACCTAATTGCACATGGGATCACATGGCCACTTGTTCAAGCTGTAGAATAAGATGTAAAGGTAATCCTAGGGACCCAATTTTGAGACACCTTGACAGTTGGTGCATATAACTTGTCCTACATTTTATCAAAAACACAGGGTCTTCTCATCAGGTTCTACAAATATGGTCTTCCAAGAACACCTCTAAGCCACACGAAGCCAGAAAGTACCCACTAGTCCGAATCATGGAGAGCCCACTGGGATTTCCTAGTAGACTCATGGCATTAGCCACTCAGTTGAAGACAGCATGCTCCTATACTTTTGAGGAGGCAGGCATGTGGGCATATCATGCAAGCCTCCTGATAATGGCATGCAGTGAAATAGATATGGACTTTACACGAGAAGAAACGGACTTAAAAAAGAAATGGATGTACAGCACCACTAGACGTCCAAGCCACCTGCTTGCAGTGGAAATCTGTCTTGATTTGATTAGCAACCTTAATAAATATTGAGCAAATTAGATATTCATCACCAGTAGCTTGCAAGCTCCTGGCAGCAAGCAACAAACTACCATGTCTGATAGCCGCACTTCACTCCGGCTCTGGACCAACATAGCAGGCAAGCGGACTCTGCCTTCAGCCCATTTGGATTGACCAAATCAATGCGTGCCATTGTAATCCATGACTCTAGATTTCTAACAACAGGGGCCTAAGCTAATTAAAATGTTCCAGTCTGTAGAAATACACACAATACTGCTAATTAATAACATCAAAAACTAAAAATAATGTATCAAAGAACTCACGTGGATAGCCATAACTAGACAGAGATGGCCCAGAATTAAGATATGCCACAGCTTATATATCAATTAACAACAAAATGCAAGGGTTCCTACCACTGTCTCGAAAAATGAACCCAAGCAAGTTAAAAAGTTATTATGAAAGATTCATCAAACATCTAAATCTTCAAATCTACTTGCAAGTAAATTACATACATGAGGCTACTCAATGAACATTTGGTGTCAAGCTGGTTTCTGGCTAGAAGATGAACCTGTCCTCTGGAACACCTTAGAATTGAAAAGGTCTTTACCAGACTTGCCCTTAAATGTAAAATGCCTTCTAAGACGACTCGTTATTGAAGGGCCATTGTCGTTCCGTCGTGACACTGCACGAGGCCAGTTTCTCCTCAATCTGTCCTTGATATGATAAGAGGCTTCAGTATTATTGTGACCACCCTGGGCCTCAGATATCACTACCCCTCTGCTTCTCCGTACAGATCTTAGGGCTGTCTGCAAGGGCTCTGAAACTGGTGGGGATTCTTCGATCGACCCCACGGTTTTCAAGCACAAGGGGCAAGGAGGGTCATGAATCTGGGTCTTTGGAGTGACTTGTTCCAAACATTCAGCATGGAAAACATGGCTGCAAGGTAATACCCCAGCAGTTGGCATGTCACTACCTCTCATGATTCGATGTGAACTCCAGGGGGACTTCTGCCACAAAAGTTTTCCACAAACTCCACACTTTTGTTCCACTACAGGACCACTAGGGGACCTCAGACTTTCCATATCCATGTGCTCTGCTATGTCAAACCTTTCTCCATCAATCCCTAGATCATAACTGCTGGCACTGCTCCATCTAAAACCCTCTCTTCTAGAGCTCGCACTGGGGTCTGGTGACATCTCTAACTTTTGAAGTTCAGTGAGGGTTTTATGGAACTTATACTCAACACTTGAACTGTTATCAGGCCAATGAGATGGTGATATCCGATCCTCACCCGGTGTTAACCTACCATGACTGCTGTTATCCGCATCAACAAAGGTTTCACAATCTGACACAGGGTTGCGGAATACTAGAGGATAAACAGCTTTTGACATGTAGGAGCGTCGATTCGAAAAGTTGCGATTGGAGAAAGCAAATGGCCGCTTGCTAGTTGATTCCCAATGGCTGGACTCGGAAAGCGAGGATGGGGAACTAAAACCAGGGGATGTCGCACTTGGTCTAATGGCAAATCTTCTCTGGAACATGAAACATCAGAAGAAAATGTCATGTAATAGGAACTTTTCAGCCAGTGCTAACAAACCGAAAGACTATAAAATAAAAGTCACCTCAGTAGAACATGGAAACCAAGTGGGCTGGGATCTTGATCCTGGCGATTGAAGATATGTTAAAATACAAACATGTAACAGTAAATAATTAACTCATCCAGATATCTAACAAGGAACCAGGAACTCAAGCAACATAAAACTGCTGGATTTTATTAAAATCAACTACCAAAAAGCTATGCATTTTCTTAAATTGCATACATGCTTGCACAGATGGACTCCTGATCCTACATACAAAAGAAGCCTTAAATGAAACATTATCTTGGGTGATCTAAATCCACCAAGAAGGGATGGATTCTAGATCCTACATACAAACGAAGCCTTAAATGAAAATTCTCTTGTGATCTAAATCCACCAGCAATAAAAGTTGATGCACAGATTTTACTTAATTATTTTCAACCACCTAATTTTATCTGCAATATAATCTTGGATTTTGCCTCACTAAGTTTTTGTTTTCATGAAATACTAAAAATTATTCTCAGTTTCCAGTCAATCATTTTGGCTTTTGGAAAGGTACTTATTTTGTATATAAGAAGCATTAGAGACAGTTATTGACCAACTTTGACTGCCATATTGAGCATAAAGAAGGGAGGAGGATAGGAAGGCCTTGTTTCCATTCTATATAAAAAGCATTACCAGCACTAAAGAGCAACGTACCAATTTTGAAAATGATATGATGAGAACGAACCTAAAACCTATCCAACCTCCAGGCAATCATTAGTGCATGGGCTAAAAAACTTGTCTACATATTATGAGTTCCTCTTTTTGCCTTTCTTTCTCTCAGTTAAGTAAAAGTGAATAATTTACTTGACTGTAAATCATGGCTAGAAAATAATAAATAAAAAATACCAATAAGAAAGAGAAAATGAGTACTGATAAAGAGTCCAAGAGGAGTCACATCAAGCTTGACAAGATATTTTAATAATCATTAACCAATTGCTTGCTTGAAAAGCAGCTGCAAAACTGGTGGATTTATAGATTTGTCAATTTCTCATTATGCTGATTGACATAATTTGCTTGTTTCCCTCTAAGGTGCATTTGCTGTAGAATCTTGCAATATTTTCATCAGCATGCCCAAGATGCTAACATCTTACACAATGTCTTTTCCAACCCAATATCTCATTCGGATCAATCTTGTTGACATTCATAGACATCGTTGTCTCCCTCAATCATTATAAGTAAAAATTTCCTGACCATCATGCTACTAAGTCACCCCAACCATGACCAATCGACCATGAAGAAGTCTTATGAAGTACAGTCAATCCCCACTGAGAAGCTGATGATGTCCTATCTCAGCATTACCTCTCCGAAACAACAGCATCGATTGGTATTTTTTAAATCCTAGATGCCATTAGGAATTGAAAGATGGATAACATAAGATAAAAGTTAAACCTGATTTGATAAATGTGATTAAGGAAATATTCTGTTGTTTTTATGAAGCTTTTGCCAAAAAAGGCCAAATCTGCAGAGCAGGTAATGTTTTTATAAGTTTTGTCTACAGTTCCAACTATATGATTACAGTGACACCATTTTCCATAAATCAGTTTTTATTATGTAGCTCATGTTACAGGTAAGTAATAAAGCTGAGGAGAGAGAATTAGAAACACAAAGTGGTGTAATAAGACAATGTATATAAGTGAGCATCAGATTTAGAATGTGAATCATAAGGCAAACAAGAGAATGGGATCCCTTCAGGAAAAGATAGGTAATCTGCAAATAGAGATGGACAGGACACAAAGCCTCTGGTAAATTTTCCAGAAACTAAAAGAAAATTCAGCACATTTTCAGCATGCGAGAATATATGGAATTTCAGATGAGAAATGACCTAATCAATGCATATATTTATATAATTATGATATTCAGTTAATTTAACGCTTGAATGACCAAATATAATAATTAAAATTACAATTATCTATGCTTAGCTGACTAACATTAGAAAACCTTTCAATTTTGATTTTAACAATCCTTAAAGGATAAAAAAGGCGAGAAACAGCTTGACCACACAAAAATATATGAAAAGGAACAAGACAAAAACCTTATTCTGCACTGTTCCATCAATAAACAAACCTCTAAACAGGACTTGCCCTTGTCATGCTGGGTATATTAATAGGAAAAAAAAATCAGAATACCATGAATCTAATATTGAAGAATGATTATATTAAGATTACCTCCAGCAGTAGAGGCAGCAAGCTCACCAAGATTAAATTTTTGCACTGGAGATGTCCAACGGGGCTCCTGGACATTATCAGGTGGGCTCTCAGAATAAGAAAGTGCACCATCAGACACTGAATGATGATGGTTGGTATACCGTCCACTTCCCACCCAGCTTCTGCTCCCCCTACTTGTTGAGGATAACGATGAACCGTGAACAGCACGAGACCCATGTGATAAACCATCTGACCGTAACCTACAATCCCACATCCTCAATGGAGGAGGTGAGAAACTAGAGTTTATTCGCCAATGTGGTTCACTGTGATTATTAGAAGAGTCCCTGCCAGTGGCAGGTGACTTTGCTCCATGTGGCCCAGCGGCCACACAACAAAGTGCACCCGTGTTAGCTATTTCTATTGGCACAGTAAGGTTGTTTTGTAATCCAGTTAAATATAGTTATGGGCAAATGAAGGTCCACATGGCCAAAGTTAGATACTAAGTTGGGTACAATGGCAACACTAGTTCTAAATATTGCAACCAAGGATCACTGTATAAAATGAAGACAGAAATCATTGAAGGTAGCAGCCACCCAGTATTGTGGACCTGACATAGGAGGCATGTCAGACTTCCATTCTGAATCAACTTATTATACAAGAGAAAATCTTCAAAACTTCAGCATGGTTTGACAAGTTGCTGAACGAATATGATGCTTTCAGATACCAAGTTTCACCTGAAGTCTGCCCTTCTCCACTGCATTTATCCAATATCACCAGTTTAACAACTGAACTAAGATAATAAGTCCAAGAACAAAAATCATCACATATGTTCCACAATGATAGAGAAACAATATTGATAATTAAGGATCTAAAATCGATAGACTTAAGAATAGAAATGCAAAGGACACCACAAAAAGTATATTACTTCAGTCAGAGATGACATCTGATTGCACACTAGTCAATGACATCAACAAAGAAAGAGTTGAGTTTCTTTATTTCTGGAACTAACTTAAATGCAAATTCAATATGGAAGTTCCCTTCAAAAATTTCAACTCATTGAATTTATCTTTTATTGATTCAATTTTTCACGCCATGCACCCATTTTTAAGTTTTTTTGAGGTTCAAAGAAATACTCTTCTCAAGGGTAAATGACAACAAAACCTGCTGTGAAATCAATTGTAAAGGCGGCCAGGCAAAATCATAGTAAATACTGGACACAGGCAATCATTCCATGATAACTGAAGGGTCCATTCAACATGAGAGAAGGCAGTAAACAGACATGTAAAATTATGTTGTGATGCAAAAAAATTATGCTTTCAGTTCCATATGCAAAAGTAACACTAATTTTACATCATTAACACAACAATACAAACAGTGCCTAATTCTATTTGCAGCAAAAGTAATAATAACAGAGAAGATGACACCATAACAAACCCAAAGAAATCCAATCTTCCACGCATTTAATTCTAACCAAAAATAAAATTAACCCAAAACGGAAAATCTTTCCAAACATAAATTTTCATTAAGAAATAAAGAGAAGAGATACGCAAAATCTAGCATCAATTCAAACTCCTAATTAACAAAATTGAACCAAAATTACATAAAAGAAAGTAATGCACACCCAGATCAAAAATAAACTCACCAACCCTTTTCATATTTCCAACCAAAATGAAATAATGTCACAAAAACAAAACAAAACAAAGCCATTTAGGTATAAAATAAAATATGGGTCAATAAACAAAGTACCTCAAAATGCCAAAAAAAACCTGAACTTGATTGCACAGAGAGAGAAAGAAATGAAGAGAAGAAAAGGAAACGAAACCCTAAGGTTGAGAGGGTTGTTTGATAATTGAAGAGTAATGAGGGCGTACGTATAAAATATTCACTTTGTGGAGAAATGAGACAAAAGAGAAAGCAAAAGTAAGAGCTTTGAAAGGGATGGGGCATAACAACGTTGCTATGCTAGCTTTCTTTCTTCATTAACTAATTAAATACTTTCTGCATAATTATTGTATTAATTAATGATATCATTAATTAATATATGTATGACTATTTATAATCCTGTTTTCGTACGTGGTTGGTAAATTATACTCTTGCGGCAATAAATTACATAGAATCAGAATCTTGCACTGTCACTTAACTTCCTAGTATCCTTTGCTATAACTAAACTATTGATCTCACGTTATTAATGGGTCACAATCTGATTTTTTTTCTTTTTTTTTTTCCCAAATGAAATTTACTTATTTTAAGCGTACGAACAAGCTTAATCCATCTGGATTTTAAGTTTTTTCTTTCTTTTATCAGTCTAGAAGTTCGTCTGTTACCCTCTGTTTTAGTTTTTACTTTTTTTCTACTTTGTTTGGAAATAAATAAAATGTTGTTTGGTTATCGAAATTGAGTGATGGTAATGAAAATAAGAATTTTATTTTTATCTTATAATTGTTTGATTAAAAAAATAAGATAAGAATGAAAATATAAAGAGTGAAAATTAAAATTAAATATAGTTTTATTTTCATGTAAAAAGTGATAATGAAAATAAAAAATAAAATTATATATTTTTTTCAAAATAAGGATATATTATTTAAATTTATCATATATCAATTATTTATTCTCGTCATCACAACTACCACCACAATCATCGTCATCACTACCATTATAATCGCCATCATCGTCGCCTTTACCGCCACCGCTACCACCATCACCACCCCACCTCTATTAGCGGTGGTGATAAACAAATTTTGAAAAGAAAAAAAAACTATTATTATTATTTTTTTGTTTGCCACCACTCTTTTTCAATCACCATTATCACTTTTATTATACCATCATCATTGACGATTGTGATAAATAAAATTATTATTATTTTATCATTACTCCTCTTCCGTCATCACAACTACTATCATAACCATCGCCATTACCACCATCATAACCGCCACCATCACTTTTCAACCAACTATTTCTTCCGTCATCACAACCATCGCCATCGCCATCACCATAATCGCCATCATCGTCGCCTCTATTGCCACCGCTACCATCGTCAACACCCCACCTCTATCGGTGGTGGTGATAAACAAATTTTGAAAAGAAAAAAAAACTATTATTATTATTTTTTTGTTATTGTTGTTGTTATTTGCCACCACTCTTTTTTCTTCCACCATTATCGCTTTTATTACACCACCATCCTTGACGATTGTGATAAATAAAATTATTATTATTGTTTTATCATTACTCCTCTTCCACCACTACCATCACTTTTATTATACCACGACCACCACCACTTTTATCATATCATCATCACCACTCTTTTTTCACTATCACCTCATATGACGGTGATGAATCAATTTTCTAAAAATATATTATTGTTGTTACTATACTATGATTACTATTATATCCTCTTCATCTTCTTCTTACTCCACCAACACTACAATCACCTATATCATTTTTAGTACCATCGTAGTTGATGAAATTATTTTTTAATCATTATTCTTATTCATATTAAAAATTAAAAATTTAAATTTCATTCCGATTTCTTATTACTATTTCAAAAACAGTATATAAATGTAAATATCATTCCAATTCCCTAATTTTTATTCCGATTTCGCATTGTCATTCCGAATTTTTTATTTCGCGCAACCAAACGACACCCAAATGAATTGAAACCATCAAATAAGTGTTTGTTAAGTATTCTATTCCTAATTCATTGCTTAACTTTCGGAAACGAGAGTTGATTCCACTTAAATACATAGTGGGTTACACTTAAAAAAGGCATAACAAGCAATTTTTTTTATTAAAGAATGCTTATTTGGTTTAAAGTAAAATTACCTTAGAAAATTCTTAAATAATAACAATACCAATAATCCATATATGGATTTTAATTAAATTTACATTATTTGAAAACTATGTAATCTTTTGATTTTTTTCCCTTATATTATTTAAAACATTTCATTTTACCCGGTGTTTTCAAGTATTTATCGTGATTTTTTTTTAAAAAAAAAACTTGAATTAAATTATGTTCTTAGTGCTAATTTTAATTCAAACAAAACAATAATGCATTATCTAATGGTTAAGTAATTTTATTTATAATACAAGACAACAATTCATCGCTAAATACGTCGATATATTCAATCTTACAATACAACACAACAATCATAGTGAAAATTAAATAAACTCTAAAAAGGTCGTATATATTTAATTTATATATTCATGAGAATCATTTCTTGTTACTTCTTTAGGAAATAAAGTTTTCGATGATAAAGTAAGAAGCAAACTCATTTATCAAACATAATAAACCTTCAAGACTACACAGTAAATAACATGTGTTTACATATAATCTTGTTTAGAGAAATTACTAGTTAGATATCCGTGTTATGCTTGCAATCGGACAACTGTTGTGCTTGTAAGATTAATAATTCGTATGGTGTAGTGTGAGTAGAAGTTTTTTTTATGATCAATAAAAATTGAATATATATATTGAGTGAAATTGTTTGATTTATACATATTTATTTACAAAAAAATTTATAATATTAGCATAAAAATTTATATTTGAATAATTACAAGATTCTTTCAAAACATTAATTAAATTATTTTATTTAAAAATACAGATTTTAGAACATGAAAAAAATAAATAATAACTAATTAGTGTTATATATATATATATATATATATATATATATATATATATATATATATATAGTTTGTGATAGATATTCTTAGTTACTAAGGAACTCAAGATATTGGAGTAGATTTTCACTCAATAAGGCTAAACTTTCTATTTAAGATGCTTTTTCCCCCTTTTTCTTTCTCAAATTCCCATAATAGTTAAAAAAATCTTATTTACTTAAACCATGCTTATATATATATATATATATATATATATATATATATATATATATATATATATATATATATATATACATACATACATACTTTGTGATAAATATTCTTAGTTACTAAGTAACTCAAAATATTAGAGTAGATTTTCACTTAATAAGGCCAAACTTTCTATTTAAAATGCTTTTTTTTTCCTTTTTCTTTCTCAAATTCCCATAATAGTTAAAAAAAATTATTTACTTAAACCATGCTTAGGCCTAGTTTCAAAACGTAATTTCAAAAAAAGCATTACTTCATAAACCATGCTTAATCATAGAGATACATAAAGTTCTCTAGCATGTATGCACTTCCACAATAATAATATTCCAAACAATTTTAAATTTCTCATAAGATCTTGTTAAAAATCTTAATCAATTATCAAGTAAAAAGGATATCATACTAAAACGT